TACATGATTGGTCAAATCTATCAAACCTGTACAGAGATTCATTGGTGAAATAACAGATAAAATATAGATTTTGTTCTCAAGAAACATTTGATAACTATCTGGACATTATAATGATTTTGTATATGAAATTTGAAAATTTTCTGATGCATAAAAGTATTTTTAATATTAAAATGAAAATTACTTTGCATGTTAGATAGGCATGAGAAAAACATTGCTTTACAAACTTTAAGACTTAAAAAAAATCTGATATTTTGCATTGTAATGTTTACTGATAATGTGCCAAATTTCTTTAACCTTTGCTTACTAATTCAAAAGTTATAACATGAAAACTATAACAAGCACAAAATGGTTATGAGGTCGGTCCTAGGGACCAAGACCATACTGAGAGAGTTAACGCCCTAGCGTTTATACCCCACAAATTTGAACTACTCATTTAGCATGCATACAGCATGTAACAACCTTCCACCAGTAGGAGCATGAAACACTCTCCTAAAGCAGCTGCTCCTGGACCTCACTTTTCAGATTAGGCCCACAAGAAAGAGAAGAACACTGGAAGTGGGGAGGAAGTGTGTGTGTGAACGGAGGTATCTATTGGAAATCTATTTTCAATGTAACTTCCGATACAATACATACCTTTTCTCACACAATACGTAGAATCCAACACTGAATAGGTGGAGGTACTGGGGAAGTTAAAACAATAAATCCCCTGGAGAAAGTGTCCATAGAGAATCAATCAGGTGTGCTCTGTAATTGAATGGAAGCACACATTAAGAGGAGGATGTGGAATACCTGTTCAACCATAGGAATAGGAATTCCTACATCCTGCAACCGATATTACAAGGTAGACTAAGTCCCCTGAGCTCAACTGTAAGAGCAGGGAAATTAAACATCCGGCAACCAGAATTACAGAGAAGGGGGCATCTACCAGTCTTAACTGTAGGAACAGGGCACTATCTACCTGAACCTGGTATTACAAGGAGGGTCCAACATAGGCTGGTCCAGCTCCATCCAACATCAGCACACCTAGTCCTAAACCTACAGTGAGTAAAAGGAAGGAGGATTTACAGCTATGCCCCCTTCTCAACTGAGATGGATTGATACATAAGGTTATGATGTGTGTTCTACACTCATGAGGAACCCACCATGGTTGAAGTTCCGCCAATCGTGGAATTCCCACTGGAGGGAATGCATGTGAGTACAACCAAGTGGTAAAAGATTTTCCAAAAAAGCCCACATCCCCAAAAGAGACAGAACCTATCGAGCTGGAAAAGAATGAGAGGATAGAGCCTTGATGACCAACTGCTCCATATTTTGAAGATGTAATGGAGAAAGCTGGGCCCAACTGAGGTGAGATTTGAATAAAACTCCCAAATTAACTCAGTACTGTGTAGAGGAAAGGGTGGGCTTCTTCACTTTGATTAACCAACCCAGATAAGCTGCTTCCTCCTGGAGCAAATGGATGTGGTCAAAAGACACCAAACAGGAAGAAGCCAGTTGTCCATATAAGGATGAGACCAAAGTCCCAACAAGTGGAGATGCTGAGCAAAGGTCTTGACTACCCAACAAAACATGTAAGGAGCCTATATGGAAGAGTCTGGAACTGGAAAATACACCTCTCATGGACAAACTGAGAAAAGTGACATGAGGATGGAGAGATATGAACATAGAGGTATGCATTTGCTACATCGAACTTGACGATCCAAAAACCTGGAGTGAAAACTTAACAAAGAGACAGAAATGACTTCATGGTGAAACCAGGAGGATCCAGAAAATTATTTAGAAGGAAGAGGTTAATACAGGTCTCCAATCCAATTGAAAAGCTGAAAGTAAAAACCCAGCTGAATGGGAAACACTGGCTCGATAGTTTCCTTGAGAAGAAGGTCTCTCAATGCCTTGGACTGCTTGGGACAGGATCCCTTCAAGTAGGGAAAGGAACTGGAGACAAGGAAAGAGGAGGTGGAAACCAGATATGAACAGAGAGACCCTCTGACAAAACCCACAGAATTCATGAATCAGTAGTGAAGGTCTTCCAAATGTGAACAAAACAGTAGATCCTAGCCCTCACAGGACCCAACCCCATTGTGTAGTCACTTATACCTCTGTAAACATTCAAAGCAGACACAGGGAAAATGAGGATAAGGATGAGAACACTGAAATGCAGGTAAAGTATGAGGCATGGAAGCTGGAGAATGGGAAACAAGAATAGGATCAGAAGCTATAAAGTCATGAGCAAGGAAAGATAGGGAGTTATGCAACCTGGCCAAGGGACTCCAAAGAATTAGAATGGCCCCCAAAAACAGTGTAATGCAAAAATGGAGTCATCCTTAAATTCCAAAGGAAAGACAAATCCCCACAAGCAGCGCATCTCTTCCCAACAAGTCCCAACAACAAAGCAGCCAGGTAAATAGGGAAAAGGCCGATAATGATAGCCTCACCAAAATTGACCATAGAAGGGATCTGAGGTCCTCTAAAAAATTTTTGGAAGAATGACAAAAGGTGAAAAAAGGAGAGGTAATGTAAAATGTTAGTCATTGTAAGACGAATTCTCAAAAATTATGCATGTGAAAATTATACCGCAGTCTCCGGATTAGAACTCCAGAGGGGTAACAGCAGATCTAACTGGTGAGAATCCAAATAAGGATTTGAAGAGCAATAAAATGTTAAAGGGTGTTGGTTAGAAAATCAAGGAGGTCAAGACATACTAGCCCCTGAAAGTAACTGTGAAAAACCACTGTGCATGAACCTTAATGTTAGGTGAACAGGAAAGCACCAAATAATCTACCATAAAAGGGAAAGAGAAGCATCGTAAAAAACAGGAAAAACATTCAAAATGTGCCAAACCTGTGCAATTAATTGGTTGAAAGGAGTAGAAAGTCAAACCTCCTCCAAAGATGCAGGACATGGCTGTATGGCAAAGGAAGAAGCAGGAGAAAGGCTGTCTGAATCATCTTCATCCTCAACACTTTCATCACTCTGACAAGGTGCTGGCCACTGGGGGAAGAAGGCCCAGGCCCCATGTAAAAAACTAAAACTTGACAAACCAAGGCTTTCACCTCCTTGGCAAACAACGTCGATCAAAGGCCTAGATAACAAGAGTTTATATGTCAGGAGAGTGTCATGCTCCTATTTGTGGAGGGCTGTCGCATGCTCAATGCATGCTAAATGAGCAGCTCAACCTTGTAGAGTATAAAGGCTAGCGTGTCAAGCAGGAAAATTTCTTTTCTATGCATTAGTGGGCAGTGGAAGATTGAGAAAAGCTATCATGTGAGAGGAAGGTGTGTATAGTATTGGAATTAATAATTCTCATTAATCTTGTTTTTTTAGAGTTTTTTTTTATGTCCATCACGGACATAAATCTGTATAATAGCAAAACTGTCCTATTTGAAACAGTTTAGTTTAATGAAATATATTGTTGGTATATATTGCTCTCTCTCTCACAAAAATGACAACCTTTGATTCAGCTTTATGCACATTCGATGGCTATTGCTCCCGATATCATTGCCACAATGTTATCATTCATAGTGGTAGTGCATGAATAATCATTATGATGCATTGGTGATCAACATACCACATGTTATGTATGTGCTTGTAAAATATATATAGCTACTATATTTATATCCTGTAGCAACATGGGGAGTCTGTAAGCAATAGATTAGAGAGACTACTGAACTATACTGGAATAGTGCATGGATTGGATTTTGTAAGTGCGTGATTTTTACACATGCACGCATGCACATAAAATAAGAATTTAAAATAAATTTTGGTAAAGATTCCACTGTCAGTTCTAGTTGTCATCTTAAAGTCATAGTGGATAATACCTGTGGTAATAGCTCCCAAATGTGTTGGGGATATCCCATCTATAAAACAAAATCCAAATGCTGATGTTAAACTTGCCAGCAAACATGGAAATCAATTAAGGGTATATTGTTGAGAGCTTACACCCACAACATTTCAACTCCTACTACCCTTTACTGTCTGCAGCCAGGAATTGCCTTCTCACAACTGGCTGCAGGCTGCCAGAACAATATTAAATGATAATAAAGAAGAACAAATGTGCGATCCCTATCATAAACCATTACTGTGGTTCATGATAATCTGCTATATCTAATGGTATTTAAACTTTGTCTATAGCTATTTTAAGAGCTGATTTTTATTAGTACTAGGAATAGTAAATACAATTAGTGAAAGATAACATTCTCAAGTGAAACAAAATATGGATAAATATATTTTCATGGGACAATAATTTATTAATCCATATAACCCTGTGCTCTATAGTGGGCAGAAAAATTCTGAAAAAAAATTAAGAAGTGTTGTTTACAGATAAGTCACTTTGTAGATGTGCAGAAATGTAAGTTTGAACATTTGTTTAATTTTTCTTTGCAAATTATATTCACTTATTGTCACAAAGTAACGAAATATCCATTTAAAAATACTATTTAATTAGAAAATGTTGAATTTAGAAGTATTAATTTTTATTTAAATATTGATATGCTGAAAAGTAATCTCTGGTCTGTAGAAAGGTAATAAATCATTATTTTTAGGATTTTTTCCTCCTATACAGCTCTAAACACTTTACTGTATTATGAATGATACTAATGTTCCTGAAATCCTAAATTCAGGTTTCATTTTTGAACTTTTCAAATGTGTTTTCAATTCCTAAAATACTTTTCCATAAATATATGTTTTTAACCTCATAGAATGCTTTTTTCAATAATGTCCCCAACATTTAGAATGTTTGTATTAGTTTAAAAACATGTTAAAATATTTCAATATTTTGGTAGATATGGAACTGTTACTGTGGTCTATGAGATCAATTATGAACGAATATATAGTTATACACACACACACACGTGCACAACATTCACTCACCGATGTACAATAAAACTTTTATGTAAGTACTGTAATCCATTGAACAACTGCAACATTATGCACTTCACCTGAAAAAAAAAAATATATATATATATATAAAAATATAGGAATAACCAAAATAGAACAATAAAAAAGCTACAATAAAAGTAGGAAAAATAAACAGTAGAGTACATATACATAGTGTTTAATAATTACACTAGCACGTGAGAGATAAAGATTAACTAACCTGCGATTCAGAGAAGGGTGTCTGAATGTTGTCCAAGAGACTTGCTAAATCTTGTTCACAGTATTCCATAACTAAGAATATACTATAAAAAACACACTAAAAGGTTTTAGGTTAATGTAAATTAGTTTTAGCATTCAACTCCCAAATTCATGACAACAACTTACAGATGAAGATCAGAGAAAGATTATGCAAATTAAATAAAATATAGAAGATAAACTTGCAATAATCCAGATAACCTTCATTTAAATGTAAATTAGAAAATGAACACTGAAATTAGTACTTTCATTACTGATGGTGTGAAAGGTTGTTGATTGAGAATGTAACAAAAATTTCTTAGAGATTCTTCCTAATTTGTCAGATAGGTAATCAACTGAATTTATCCAGTTACATAAAAGTGAAGTGATAATACATATAAACACATCATAAGTATTTCTATGGAAATAAAATTTCCATAATGTAAGCTTTCTTTACCTAAATAATAGATTCTTGCAGTATTAAAGGAAGAAATTCTTATTTTAAACATCTAAAAGCCAAGACTAATAAAAAATCCTTTACAATGGGAATGTTTTAGAAACTGTTTACTTAAACATATATTTTCTTTAGTTTTATCAGATGTTATAGGGCTACAATTCTTGGACAGCACACAATCCACTTCTTTTAAAAAAATACATTTGAAACAAGTCAAACATACATATAAAGAATTCTTTACACTTTTGGCTATAACAGTTGTATCCAGAGCTTTAAATAATTCTCTCTTTTTCGTCAAAGTCCACACAGGCTGGTTCAGTTACATTAGAATACCATTTCATGAGGCAAATTATTCTCCTCTACTCTGTTATTACAATACAATCAATGATAAGTTCACTTACATTACCCCACCCGTTACCATAGTTATAGCCAGAGTTTTAAATAATTCTCTTTTACATCAAAAATTCACACAGGCTGGTTCATTTACTTTAGAACCCAAATTGTAAGATGAATTATTCTTTTCTATTCCATTATTACAATAGAATATGCAATTATAACACTTTAAAAGTCACCACTATAAACTCATTATGACTAAACTTACAAACACAGTCTAGATCTTTATCTCTCTCTAATTTTTTATTTTCACTAACTTCCTATTCTTCCTCTCTCTATTTGCATGTATTTACAATATGCCACAGATAAATCCAGAAATTTCTAGCCATCCAGTAACAACATTAAACATAACAAGAAAAACTTAGAAGATTTGAATACGATGATATCAACAATATTACAAAAGCCTAATAGAACAATTAAACTACATATGATTCGTACAGTTACATAATGAGCTTGTCATAACTATCACTTTTAAAATAATTAACTTTTAACACTCTTGTTATGAAAAATAAATATTCATTAAATATTACATCACTAAATAATAACTCTTAAACTGAAAATTCTTGTATATTCAACAATATGTTCTTCTTCAAGAAAAGTATTTACAATATTTTTTACACTATGTACAAAGACGATTCTCAGTTCATACACAAAGTCTACCTATACAGTCTGCACCAACATTTGCAGTCCTTTTGATAGCTTCGATGCAAAACCTGTAGTTCTACAGGTACAATGCCCACCTCATGACTCTTGCACCATCGATTTTGCACCTCTGGATGTATGAAAGGGGCTGATGGTCCATCTGGATAATGAACTTCCCATAGAGGTAGCTGTGAAACTTCTGAATGACTAGACAATCTTGTTTGATCACCTCGTAGTTCTTCTCGCTACTCAACAGCTTTTTACTTGTGTACATTACTGGAAACAGTTCATCTTCATGTTCTTGTGGGATTACTTCTCCAATTCCAATGTCTGAAGCATTGGCCTCAACAATGAACGGCTTGTTCAAGTCTGGCATTCTAAGAATTGGCAAACTTCCCAACATGCTCTGTAAGTCCTGGAAAGCTATCTGCTGTGGTTGCTCCCACTTTACCTTGTTCAGTATGCCTTTTTTGGTCAGGTCAGTCAGTGGTGCATTAACTTCAGAATAGTTTGGGATGAATTTCCTGTAGTATCCCACTAACCCCAGGAAGGATCTGACTTCATGTTTGGTCATTGGAGCTGATGCATCTTGTATGTGGGTTAGCTTCTTTTCTTAGATGGAATCTTTCCATCACCCACCTTGTCTCTAACAAAGTCCAGCACAAAATAGCCAATGTAGCACTTAGACTGTCTGTTGGTCAGAGATGCTGCCCTCACTCGCCTGAAGAGCTCTCTTAGTTTCTTGAGGTAGTCTTCACATCTGACCGTGTGAGTCAGAATGTCATCTACAAAATACTCGATGTTGGTGGTGTTTTGCAACATCTTTCTAAACATGCATTTGAATGTTGCTGCTAAGTTTACTAACCCAAATGGCATTCTCTTAAAATAGTAACATCTGTCTGGTGTCACAAAGACTGTCTTCTCTTTAGATTCTGTCTTCATTGAGAGCTGCCAATAATCTTTACTGAGGTCAATCTTGGAAAAGAAGTTGGTTCTGTCTAGCTTTGTCATAATAGCCTCTGGGCTGCTTACAGGTTTGGAGTCGAACTTTGTCACAAGGTTTAGCTACCGAAAGTCTATGCAGAAGTTGTTTGAGCCATATTTCTTCAAATTACCACTGGTGAACAGTAGGTTGAATTCAAAGACTCAGTGATTCCAGGTTCTAACACTGCCTCAACTTCCTGCTTGATCAGGTCTCTCATTGCATAGGGCACTTGGTAGGGCTTTACCTTGACTGGATCTCTGGTTATGGTCTCAATACTGTGTTGCACAAGGTCTGTTTTGTCTGGTCTATCTGTGAAGATATCTGCATACTGACATAGTAGATATTGTAGTTCTTTCTTCTGCTTGCAAATCAGGTGTTCACTGATATTGATGTCTTTGTATGTCTCATCTCCACCCAGTGGTCTTAGGTCTAGTAAGTCTTCATCTCGTATAACAAAATCACTGTCTTCTGGTTCTGTGTCTGTGACAATTACATCTGCCATGTCCATCTGAGCCTCAATAGCTGCACATTTTAGGTCATCTTCCCTTTCAAAGTACCTCTTCAACAGATTGCCATGGTAGATCTTGATCTTCCCATCCACTTTCACTTTATAGTCAATTCTGTTCACCCCTTCCTGCACTTCAAAAGGTCCTTTCCACTGAAGGGTGAGTTTGTTGTTCTCTGTAGGTAGCAGAACCAAAACCATATGTCCAACCTTGAAACAATGATCCTTCGCCGTCTTGTCATAGAAGTGCTTCTGACTGCCTTGAGATGCACACAAGCTCTCTCGAACAAGATACCCGGTCTCCTCCAGTCAGTTTCTGAGGTATAACACATACTGGTAAGAGTTACTCACTTCTGACTCTCCTTCTCCTGTCTACAGCTCTTTCAATATCTGCATTTGACCTCATACTGTTCTTCCATATAGCAACCTGTATTAGCTTGTGGACTTCTTGGTAAGCAAATAATAATACCTGCAGGAACCTATCCTAGTCATATGGTCTTTCCTGGCACATCTTCTTCAGCATGCTCTTTAAGATTCCATTGACTCTCTCAAAAAAGTCCATTACATATAGGATATGGTCTCTCCTGGCATATCTTCTTCAGCATGCTCTTTAAGATTCCATTGACTCTCTCAAAAAGTCCATTACATATAGGATTGTATAGAATGGTATAGGAACCTATCCTAGTCATATGGTCTTTCCTGGCACATCTTCTTCAGCATGCTCTTTAAGATTCCATTGACTCTCTCCAAAAGTCCATTACATATAGGATATGGTCTCTCCTGGCATATCTTCTTCAGCATGCTCTTTAAGATTCCATTGACTCTCTCAAAAAGTCCATTACATATAGGATTGTATAGGATGGTATAGAGTTGCCTCCCACAATCAACTCATGAGCCAGGTTCGTCACTTGAGCCCGTATTCTGTTGATACTATACTATGATCTGTTTAATTTCTCCAGTAGAACTGCCTTGACAGATTCACCATAGCACTCCTTTCTGGTCCTCTACTCTGTAAGTCCCCTTCCCCTTTGTCTTGTGCTCAACTTTCTCCTAGGCACTATCCCAAAGTTTCTGCAATGAAGGTTCTCTCTTCTGTGCTTCCTTCATTTTTCTATAGATCAACGTTTGGAATATCACCTTTTGAAACTTACAGAGGCTTGATGATTTTCTTTTCTTGAGCTCTAATGGTTACTGCAGATGCTTCATCAGTCTCATTTCTGTATGATTCCTCCAAACTTCTACTGCCTCGTATATGGCCTATCACCAAGTCATAGTTTGGTGTCTTCATACACATGGCCTCAAGGTCTCCCAGGGAATACTGAGTGTCCACTTTTATTCTTGCTATGGGGAACTTTCTCACTGTCCCATCAATCACTGCTGTACTAGTGCACCCAGTGTCTTTCATTTTCTTGTTCCCGACATAGCCTTCACCTAATAGCATGTTGAGATTTGTTGGCATCTCACAATGTTTGTCATATGGTCTAATCACCACAGCCATTATTGACTCAATCACTTACTTGAGCTGACCATCAGTTGTACACTGTTTAATCATGGAAATAGCACTTCCTTCTTGTGGTGAATCTGACATGTTTCTATTTTGTTTCTACTGGCAGCAGTATCCATGGTGATAATCACTATTTTCTTGTTTCTTGCCAGCACAATCTTTGTAGGTAGTTACATTGTTTTATGTTGATATTTCTGCTGTTGCTTGTTGGTGACAGACTTACACTCATTTGCAATGTGCTCTATTTTATAACAAATATAACATCTCTTCACCCTTTTGTCTATTGAGTTCTTGTCACCTCTGGTGGTATCCTGTTTCTGGTTCAGCCACCACTGGTTTCAACTTTAAATGTTTATTCTTGGAATTGCCAGTTATACTCTTTCCACGGGCTTCCATATACTGTTCTGCCAGTTTTATCACCTCCTCAATGTCTTTTGGTGCCCTTTCCTTTAAGAACAGTGACATTGTCAGTGGATCACGTGATCATGAACTGTTCAAGTATTAGTAAATGTGCTAGTCCTTCAAAACTATTTTCACACTTGGCCATGCCAGTCCATCTTGTAAAGTATTTCCATAGATGTATCACAAACTGAAACACAGTTTTTCCAGTGTCAAACTTGACTTCTCTGAATTTTTGGCAAAAACCTTCTTCAGTAAATTCATAATGTTTCAACAAAGGCACTTTTAACTTGTTATAGTACATGTCATCTTCTGACATCATGCCTGCATACACTTGTGGGCCTTTTTCTGTGAGAAGTGGGCTGAGACAGACTGTCCAGTCATCTTTGTCCAAGTTTTGACTTTGGGTGAATCTTTCATAACTCTCCAGGGAAGCATCCATTGCATCTTTCTGTTTATCAAATTTGGGGAGCTTGGGTCAGCTAGCCCTAACCTTATAGTCATTCTTGGCTCGGTTGACCCTAACAACATTGTCATTCTTGAGTCCTTAATCTTTCTGTTGGGTGAACTTAGTGATCTCAATTTGTACTCTTATTCTATTTCCAGTCTCTTCTCTGACTACATTCTTCTCTCTCTAGATTTTCTTGTTGTTTAACAAACTCTCTTAAATCACCATCTTTTAGCCCAAGTCAGTCACCTCCCTCTATCCATTTATTAAGATAAGTTGAAATGGTTATATAGCATGATTGTAATCTCTATCCTGTTTTTGCCACCACTATAGTTGTGCACATATGGGTCTACTTCTGCTGTCATTCACGTCTTATTTTACCACCATTTACCACAGCATAGTCCTGGCTGGCTCACCAAAATCAGGGTTTATAGATCCGTGATTCTTTACAGTAGGTGTCTGTGACTTATTGGTGATAAATTTGGACAATAAATGGACAGCACACAATCCACTTGTTTTAAAATAATATATTCAAAACAAGTCAAACGTATATACAAAGAATTCTTTACACATATATCCAGAGCTTTAAATAATTGTCTATTTTTTGTCAAAGCCCACACAAGCTAGTTCAGTGAGTTTAGAATACCATTTGACAAGATAAATGATTTTTTCTACTCTGTTATTACAGTACAATAAGTGATAAGTTCACTTACATTACCTCATGCATTACCACATTTGTAGCCAGAGCTTTAAATAATTCTATTCTACATCCAAAGTCCAAACGAGCTGGTTCATTTACTTTAGAACCTAACTGACAAAATGAATTATTCTTCTTTACTCTGTTATTAGAATACAATTTTATTGTTTTATTGCCCTTTGAACCATGTCTAACTACTATTCATGCCATTGTAAATTGTAAATCACTTGGAGAATGTGTGGTTTATGTTATTATCCACAAGCTACCTCAAGCTGCTCACATGCGTTGCTCCTGAAGATTATTTTATCATATTATTATTATTTATTTTACTTAATCAAATCTTAACTAACCTAAAAATTTCCCTATTTTACATTTTAGTTATTTTCATTCTAATAAATAAATAATACACATGAAAAACAAGAAATAAATTTCTTACCTGGACAGAATATTTTTGGGTGTTGACTGTCGATGACACTTAACCTTATTTTTTATACTAATGGTAGTAATGCACTAAATAATTTTTATTTAATTAAATAATGCACCAAATAACATAGAATAATAACAGGCAAAAAGCAGACAATGTCCCATAACTATCACAATTTTTCTGGCTTTCTAACTATGCAACAAGAGTCGTTGCCAATTCATCCAAGCTAGTCGATATGTTTTGCATTTGTACTAAACAAAAAATGGACAATTTTCTGTTCAGAAAATGTATTATAATATGTCATTTGACAGATGAAAACCTTGACTTTCTATTGGTTATAAATAATATAGTATTAAACATAAGAGAGAACTATTAACAAATCCTGAAAGAGAGGATGTGACAGGTGGGTGTGGCAAGAGGGATCTGACATCCTATTTGATGGCTCTGTAACCAAACAATATTGAAGGCTATAAAAATTATGCTTTGTCTGAGCAATGACGATTTGACAGTGAATCATTTACATTAAATTTCATACTTATTGGATGGGTGGTGAATAAATTACAAGAAGAGCTGATGCCTAGAGAAAAAATGTCACATTTCTCACACTAGGGGAAATACTGTCTTATAAAATGAAGAATTTAAACTTATATAATGTAAAAATATGGACTATTGGTTACGATTTTATGCTATACTACATGGTATAGCATGAACAAAAAGTAGTTTAATTAAATTTTGAATGTTGCTCACTAAAAACCTTGTAAAATGCATAGTAAAGGATGCCAGTGGAGAGAGGGTTAAACCAATAATGCAGCTATCATTTATCATTCCACATCTGGGAAGTGGTCAAAGTTAGAAAAATGTTGAATTTATAACAGGAAATAACAAATGGTTATATATGAGAGAAGGGCATGTGCAATCCAGGAGTTAATTGGCTTGGATTTCTATGTGTGTAACATCAATTTATGATCAAGGATATGTGGAGAGCACCAAAGAGTGTTAGTTGCAGTTCTGGTTCCATTCCAAGAAAGTCAAAGAACCAATCAGAAATCGAGAATTACATGGAACAGTTATGAATTCCATTCTTTGTCAAATTCTCCAGTACAGAGCAAACATACAGTTTGATGTGATTGTTTTTCACAGAAGCTAGTATTTTGCACCTCAACAGCTTATCCTGGTGATTCACAGATCATTGATGTCATGTCCACCTTGTCATCTCTAGAAAACATCCACCATACTAGCTCCCTGTAAGTTGAATTGCTATCTTTAATCTTGTCAAATAATATATTTAACTAAAGATGTATCATGCCAGAAAATATAAATAACATTGAGTTACTTGTGAACCTAATTAAAGAAATCGAAGATATTACTGAAATATTGAGAAGTTTGATGGATAACTTGTTACTTGAATGTTCATTATAAAGTGAAATTATGACAGAGAGTTTAATCAGAGTTTAGTTAATTGATAACTTACTGGCTATAGTTAAGATATCAATGTAGACATTAGATGGTTTAATAAATAAATGTGCGACAATTTACTGTTTTCCTTTTTATAGAGTTTTATGCGTCTAATTTATAATTGCATAACTTTTCACACACACCCATCTATTTTTGCCCCATAAATTAATAACTATGTTCTTTATCCTCCTTGACATTCTTATATTTGCAATTTCTTGTATCACAGGTGTCATTTTTTTTGCAAAATTTTTACTTCCCTTATTATGAAATTAAATTTATCAGTCTTGTATATATTAACAGAGGAGGTAGCAACCACTAATGTTTCTTGCATGCACTGCAGGTGCAAATACATAGTAGGTTCTGACTCCATTTCCAATACCATTTTTGTTTCAGTTTTCTGAGCTCACTTTGCAAAATCAAAGTTTAAAATGTGAAATCAGTCTAAAATGCTCCCACAGTTCATCCTTTGTCACAGGCACCCATCACTCCTCTACACAAGAATGAGAAGACAATGGACTTATTTATTTTTGACTGTCGAGCATACTAGTTGGTTTCTTCTAACAGTTGTCTCCATAACAGTGTCATCCAAAAAACAATTACAGTTACATCAAAATCAGTTACATCAAGCAAATTAGCCTTTACGCCTGGGTTTCTGGTAAAAAGAAAGCATGGGGTAGGGGGTAGAATGTTAGTTAGATTTATAGGACATCAGGATTTTGCATTCTGAAGACCACCATCATTTTCAGAATCACTTTTATTTTCACTTCTATCTGTTATAACACTTTCACTTGAACTAAAGCTATCATGCCAAAGCAATTTCAATTAACTTCTGTCATCAGAATAAACAAAATATTATACATTCAGCAACAGTTGTTTCCATTTACTTGCCATAGTACAGGATTGGATGACAGTATATCACACATGACAAATGGTCACAATGTCAAGAAATGCAGGAACACTGACCCAGTGCACAGACCTTGCTCTGAAATTAATTATATAAAGAGATTTAAATGTGTACTGGCTCTATCTATGATGTTTAGTGATGTCAATTAGTGGTAGATGGCAGTAGTGGACAGAAGAAAAACTCAGGCTAAATGCTGCAGAATCAGAAAGTTTACCCTAAGGAGGTGAGTGATTTTTGTTCAGCTTGCTCACCCTGAGACTATCATGGGGTAACTGCCAAAATGGTGAAGGTTTTATAAACAGGCATGGATCTAGGGGGTCAAGATCTTGTCTCCTTTTTTTTTTCTTTAAGGACTTAATAATTATATTCTTTAACGTTGTACAAGCAAGCTTGGATTTTTGGAAGGAGGTCCAGGGGAGCCAAAATCCCCACCTTACCCCTTCCACCTATTTGTTTTTGAATTAATAATCACATTATTTAGCATTGTACAAGTAAATGTAGATCTGGGGGGGGGGGTCCATCAACCCTCCATTTTTTTCAGAAATGAATAAAAAACAGCTAAACGTATGTAGAATACTATATAGTATCGTAAAGAAATTGTATATGTCACTGCTTTTATTTGATTGGATTATTGATTAGTATAATAGCTTATTTTCAGTATTTCTAAGGTCTACACAGCTGAAGTCCAAAGCAATACAGTTATTGCCTCAGCCAATAACTGATTATTTTAAAAAGAATACAATATGAATATCAATTAAGCATTGCCATGGTATATTTTTGGCCCTTGGCTTTCTCCAGACACTAATAGTGTGTGTGTGTGTGTGTTAACTAAACTTAAGAGATTTGTTTTCATCAAAATTAATATCATCGGGACATCTACAGCTTTTACAACATATACATATTACAAGATCGATAGATATTACTATTGAGATAAAAAAGAGACCATATTCAAAGCTAACCTGTAAATGTAAAGTAGCAAAATGTCTGAAGTGTTACAAGTGTAGCAGTTGTGGATGGGGGTTCGTGATTGCACATCAGATGCTCAAAAAGTAAGCCATAAGAGAAGTCAAAGAAGCTTTAGTGGAGGAGGTTGTGTCAAATGCCCGAAGAGAAGTATTTCTGCGCACAGGAGTGGTAAACTTATGGATGTATCCAATATCTTGGCCTCAAATGGTGATGAGAACAGAAATGGGAGTAAATTCCATTTTTATGCTAGATGCTCATTTTGAAACAAAGGTACTGTTACTATCATACAACGAATGCTGAATGTTGGTTTTGTTAAGTATATGTGTGTATGGTTGCAAAAGTGTGTGAGACCTAAAAAGTCCAGGTACTACTGCTCTAAATAAAAGTTTGGCTTATCTGTTAAAGAAAAAAAAAACTCTTCTTAATATAAGAAGCAAGATGCATGTGTTAGCTCTACAGAAGTACACATTTTTGGAAGATTATTCCTGGGATAATAATTGCTATTCCTAATAACTATTACAAACACTCACCTGTCCAAACTCTTGCCAACAACCACTTCTTTCAAGTTGACAATGTTGTTATGTTGAAGATTTAATAAAATGTTAATTTCCCGAAGTCCACTTACAGGTACACCTAAAAAACAGCATTATACACAAATAACTTCAGAAAAATCAGTAGAAGCTTTTTAAAGTGCTTTTCAATGTATAAAAGTTTGGTTGAACCAGCCAAGTTCCTGATCTCAAACTGACCTTTATAGTTTTAATATTGTAACTTCTAGCATGTTCTGTGTATCTACATGAAATTTTGCAAGCTTTCATTTAGCATTAAGAGTATTTTATAGCCAAAATATCAGAATATTAATGACGTATTTTCACTAAAACTTTTTCCATGAATATATGAAATCAAAGTGCTGTCTGTTCTGAAAGCAAAGTGAGTTTCATGTTAAAATTAAAAATACTTTTCATCATCTGAAACTGTCAAATTTCATTTGTATAAACTCAAAAACTTCCTAAATAAATTTCAAGCAATTTTTCCAGTAAAATTTTATACCTTGTCATTTTCTCTACCCTAACTGTATACAAAGTTGGTCAATTTGACCAACCTCATAACCACCATAAAAAATATTAAATAAATCCGAGTTGCTCGAAATTTCTTCAAATTGTAGCATGAAACTACATTTTTCATCTACTTCTACTTAAATTTTATTGCCCTTTGAACTGTACTGTGTTGTAAATTACTAAACAAACATGCAGTTCACGTTACCCTATTGAATTACATAAGATAAAAAAATTATCTTACCATCTTTTTCTCTTTCCATTCTGACTTTCTTCATTGCAACAATCTCATTTGTCCTAGAGTCTCTAGCTCTATCTATTAAAATAATCTATAATCAATGCAGCTAGATGGATAATGATTACACTTTTCAAATTTCAAATGTGCTTCATATAAAGTAAATTACTTAAATCCATAAACAAAGAAGGATAATTGTATTTTATAAAAATGTTATAATCTCGTGCTGCCCTTATATTTACTTCCTCCATCACTGATCATGTTACTCTGATACTAATGGTTATGCTTTCTTCCAACATACAATTTCCACTGCACCAATAACAAGCTTCTATAAATGATGTTGATGTTAATCATAAACCACACACATTTTGACAAATTTCTAAGTCTCACTAACTTCAAATTCTTGTTTATTGTTTTGCTAATGGTCACATGAAACATGGCCAACTTCACTGCAATGTTCTTTTTTGGGGGTTTGGTTGTTCTATTTCGTAACCATAGACTTCACCTTGCAAGTGAGTGCATTTTTCAGAATGGCTTTGTTATGGACTTAAAACACATTTTTATTCAAAACACTGTGGTGCAATCCTTTCAGTCTTTCTAGAGAAAACTGAAAATATACTTCAGCTAGATACTTACCACTCTGCACCACTAAGAAGTATTACCATACACACACAACTGCCATGGAATTTCTTGCAGATGCCACAAGCCTTGGACAAACTCCCACCCCCATACATCTACATGTATTGTGCTAATCTATAACATTATTATCATAATGTTGTAAACTCCCCTAACAATAGGGTGACATATGAAATATGTTTTCAAGTAAGAAGGTTAACTTCAGACTCTACTTACCTCTCTGAACCACTAACTGCTAGAATGTTGAAAGAGCCAGTGTTGATCAATTACAAAAATAGGCTCCTTTCTGAAATACTGAGAGAAAGGGAAAGCCCATAGGTTGCAACTCCCACAAATTAAGTTTTGCCTAGTGAAGCAACATTTGGTAGGAGACTTCATTCTACTCAAGCATGGAATACTCTATGCCCAATTTGTGCATTTACATCACAGAGAGAACTACAGTAAAGCATGTCAGGTATATCCAGTACCAGTGGTAACATGTTGCAATAGTGAGTAAAACGTGACAATGGGTAATGCAGCTAGAGCTTTAGGCTATTCCATCTTGGTGAAATATTTACATGATACAGATACTGTATGAAAATATGAAGGGAGAAGAAGCTCTCACCTGCACCATGAGGCAAGTCCAAGTCCCATCTGGCTAGACATATTACTAGGAACTGCTTGGGAAATATTGTAAAGGGGTGTCCTGTGCTACATTTCCAGGAAACACTTCAGCCCTATAACTCAATTGATGGATGGGCCTAACCAGCCTCTTCTCATAGGTAAGGCAGTACTCACAGAGGAAACTCTCCATAATGACATCACCAGTGGCTTCAGACTGAGAAAGTAAGGGTTCTCCATGTTCCACTAGAAGGAGGGAGAGGAATACACACTGGGGAGAACACCAAAATATGTGAGAGATAGTGCATTAGTTTACTATGAATAAACACAGCAAACGAGAACAAGGTGCAAGGGCAGAATTACACCTGGTGGTGTGTTTTTGTTATTGTTGTTGTAAAAGATGTGGAAACAACCATGTCAGTTACAGAGATACTAGCTGTCTGCTAGTCATATGACAGTAAATGGTGATTAATATTTTTCTGAAAATTAAATATAAATAAATGTTGTATGTACATGTTTTCTAAAAATTATTGATAATATACAAGCAATATATGTATAAAGAATGTTTAACCTTTTCCTAGTAAGTAACATAAAAAAACAATTTATTTTGATATTTTCCAAAAAAGTTATAACAGAAGGAAATGAAATTACATAACACTTATCAACCAAAGTTAATCAAGGTACATACAGAAAAGAGGAGCATCAATTATCACAAACAGATACAGTTTTATGCAAATCATGAGTAGGTGCAAAAAATAAATTAAAACTAGTTTAACAAAGTTAAACTAAAAGCTACACTGACAAGTATAAACAATCACATATCAGTAGCTGATACCAAATTGTTACAAACTTACATGTAAACTGTACATTTATACACTATTCATATAGATGTACACTAAAAACTTTATTGTACATTTTTATACAAATCATGAGTAAATGCAAAAATAAATGAAAACTAAAGTTCAGTACTGTTACCCTAAAGTTATCTGAAGATGATAATCAAGTCCAGGTTGAAACCAAACTGTGAAGTACTTACATATAAACTGTAAAGTTGTACACTATTCAAACAAATACTGAAATCTTTGTACATACATATATAATGAAAACTGAACACAATAATGTAAAATAAATAAAAACCATGATATTTGAAGTACACAAAAAAAGTGAATGTGTATGCTCTTCTAAACTGTATGTATAGTCAAATACGTCTTTGTGAAAATACAAATTATGCAAAAAATGAAAATGTAAAAGTTTCAAAGCATCAAAAAATTGAATTACATTTGAAACAAATGGAAAGATCTAAATATAAATGCTGAGTGATGGTGTAAAAAACACAACTACTAAAAAAGCAAGGTGTTATAAATAACAAACCTCTACTAAAGAAACTTTAATTTTTAAGAAAAGAAAATGATAAAATACTAAATACATTTGTGTCCAAAAAGGAGGTGAAGTTTTGCAGGCACTTTCAAATAACACATACACTGTATATTCCACACTGGGAGAGCCTAAGTTTCAAATTACAGTGCAAATCTTGTCTTTGGACAGTTATAATGAGAATAAGGTGACATAGACTAATCTTTTAAATGCTGGAAAGTCACATTCTTTGTAATTTATGGCGTATCTTTTCTTTAGTAAATTCTTGTTACAGTATGTACCATGTAGCCAGGGATCAGTCAGAGTTATACAAACTTCCTGTACTGTAAACTTTGATATATATTCACTAATCGTGGTAGTTTAAGTTGTCTTTGTATTGTGAAGCCACATAAAACAACATTTGTTAAAATTAACTTGTGTGAAAGATCAAACATATTGTACTCAAGTACCATACACGCAACAGCACGTGTGCACTTTCTTACTGTCATTTATATAGTAAAGTTCAAGTACATCCACGCTAGAGTCAGAGAGAGGAAAAACTCCCAACCAGGTCTTAGATATGATACTGCAATTGAGTCACTATTCACATTGTTGATATCATGGTTCCATTGGTGTAGACAAAATTATGGATACAATGAAACAAGTGTGTTAAAAGTAATTATTTTAAAGGCAAGAGTTACGAAAAGTTTCATTACATAACCCTAAACTTATCTAACCTTAAGATTTTCAAATTTTTACATTTTAGTTACTTTTATTATAATGAATAAAAGATACACATGAAAAACAAGAAATAAAGTACTTACCTGGGTCATCTTTTGCTGTCCACTGTCAATGACATTTAACCCTACTTTTTTATACTAATGGTACTACTGCAATAAATAATTTTTTATTTAGTTAAGTAATGCTCCAAAAACACAGAATAGTAAAATTCAAAAAGCATAATATGTCCCATAACTATCACAATTTTTCTGGCTTTCAAACTATGCAACAAGAGTCATTACAAATTCATTTAACCTTGTCAATGTATTTCCTGTGAGAACAAAGCTTGTACTGAAAGAGAAATTAATACTTCTCAGTACAGAAATCAACACAATAAACCACTTGATAGATGAAAAGCTTTCTATTAGTTATAAACAATATAGTATTAAATGTAAGAGAGAACTATTAACAAATCCTGAAAGAGAGGATGTGACAGATGGGTTTGATTTTCTATTTAGTGTCTCTGTAACCAAACCAGATTGAAGAATATAAAAATTATGCTTTGTCTGAGCAATGACAATATTAAAATTAGTACTTTATATTAAATTTCATACTTATTGGAGGTGTGGTAAATAAATTAGAGAAGAGGGAATGGCTAGATAAAAAATGTCATTTCTCACACTAGGGGAAATTCAGAATTTTTTTTAATATTGCCTTATAATATTAAAAACTTAAAACATAAAATAATATTAAAATTTGATTTATTAACTACATTTGATGCTAAGTATATTGATAATAAAGTAGTTTGATTAAATTTTGAATGTAACTCTGTAAAAGGTTATGACATGCACACTTTGGACCTACCCAATGCAAAAGGGTTAAATAAGTGAAGTGTTAATATTCCATGTATAATTGAAATTCCAAAATATCTTCTTGACAGCAGTTTATCGGTCATGTGTAAATATTCTTTCATTATTAAGAAACAGTTGAAAAATATCATTTGAAAGGTGAACCCAGAGATACAGTTACGATATACGTTTAAACCTAATTTTCACTTATGATTTTTCTTCAGATTTAAGAACCAGATTCTACCTTACAATCATCATATGTAGTTTATAAGCTTACTTTTCCTTGCTGTCAGCATGGCTACATTGATACTATTAAAAGAAAACTGTTAACTTGTATTAACCCTATCGCAATGGTTATTCTTTACTACGCATGCCACAAGGTTTTAGTGTCTTACATTCAAAATTTTATCAAACTATCTTTTGTTGTTATACCAATTAAAATAGCATAAAATCTTAGCTAATACTCCATATTTTAATAGTATACAAGTTTTAAGTTCTTAATTCTACATGGCAATATTTAAAAAAATCCTAAATTTCCCATTGTGTGACACGCGTGACACATTTTCTCTTAGCATGTCATCATCCCTATTTTATCCACCACCTGTTGGAAAAGTACAAAATTAAACATAAATTACTCACTATAAAATCATCATTGCTCCGACCAACCATATTTTTGACAATCTTCAATTTTGTTTGATTACAGAGCTATAGAATAGAAAATCAAACTCCTCCTGCTACACACACCCCTCACATCCTCTCTTTGAAAATTTGTTAATAGTTCTCTCTCTTACATTTAATTATAAATTACCTATAACCAATAGAAAGTCAAGGTTTTCATCTATCAAATGACATATTGTATAATGTTATGTTCTGAAAGGTTAAATACCAACTTCACTCAGAGTACCAACATCGTTCCCATGAGAAAATTAACAACTAGCTTGGATGAATTTGTAATGACTCTTGTCACATAGTTAGAAAGCCTGAAAAATTTTGAGAGGTAAGGGAATTTGTCTACTTTTTGCATGCTATTAGTCTATATTGTTTGGTGCATTATTTAATCAAACTAAAATTATTAGGTGCATTACAAACATTAGAATATAATAATTAGGGTTAACTCCCTTTGACAATCAACAGCAAGAAAAAATAAGAATGGTTAATTATTTTATTTCTTGTTTTCATGTTTATTCTTTAAAACGTAAAAATAGGGATCCTTTAGTTAAGATTAGATTAGGTAAAATAAATAATAATAATATTATAATAAAAATGTTTCAAGAGGCACACACGCAAGCAGTCTACTGGAATTGAGTCAAGATCACACCATATCTTTAATACTTTTGTGTACCTTTCTAAAAGCAACAAAGGCTTCCTTACTCATGTTATTATCAAACATATCCTTTTTTATAGAAAATCCCCTTTCTATTGCAGACTGATCATGAGATGAGATCCATAACATAGAGAATACAGTCCACAACTCTTTAAATGGTTTCTTTTGGCTCAAGAACACAGTAGTATACTGAAGTTACAATAGGAACCTACTTTGGAGTTGCAAACATTATAATTCACAAAGATATTTAGATATACAAAAACAAGAACCATGAAAAGAAGACCTACTTTCAAAAACAGCATTTAACAGTAACAAACAGAAGACAAAGTCTCAGTTCTTCCAGGGGATTTATAATTGTTGCAGTACTTAGGTCTTTAATTGTAAGGTAAATGAAAAGATGAACTCTGTATACTATCAGGTTAGCATGCTGACACTGCTATATTATAAGAAAATAGCACACCTGTATAAGTAAGATGCCAATAAATTAAAACTCAATCAATTTCCTCCACACGATGCAATTACAAATGGGAATTCATGCCATACCATCTTCTAATGTTTTCCCTAGAGAAAGTTCCTGTGGGCTTATCAAATGGGCCCACAAAATGGTCATCCTCATAGTATTGATGTACTTTAAAAAAATACAGAAGTAGACAATATTAACCAGTCTATGACTCAAAAGCTTCCTGCAGTGGAAATTGCTCTGCAGATCAATAATCCATAACCAGAGTTTTCAAAAGTAAATTATCAGTGGTGGAATATAGGACTAAAAAGCCTATACACTCATTTTTGTAACTTTACTAAAGATCACAAGCACCCCTCATATTATCTTAGCAAATTAAACCAGGAAAATAACTATGGTAGAGATAAATTCTCATACTCAAAAGGACAATTTTGTAAGTCATATTTCCAAAATAAGCTTGTAAACTACAATACCCTCTTTTACTGAAACACTAAATATTTGCAAAATTACTTACAAACAATTCCATAAGTACCTTCTCCTATTCTATTTAACTTTTCAAATTCTGTAACAGGTCGGCATTGTCCTTGCTGAATGTAAATAGTAATTATATAAAATTATAGTAAATGTGCCACTATTTAGTTTTATATTCAAATTTAGAATGTATGTAGTTTCACTCTCAGTTTAAGAAACAAGTGAATATATAAAGAACTTTTCTTACCAGCAGTAGTTTGATTTTAAATAAACTTTACTACATACAGCAGGGTTTCACTCAACATAAAAGGAATTTTTGGAAAATAAATAAAAAACGATTATAATGGGCATGTTAAAAAATAAAAAATAGCAAACTTAAAATTTATCGTTGGATCTCTGCTTTCCACTTACAACACAAAAAGAGTTGATTCAATAAGTTATAGTTGAAAAAAGAAATGTAAACTTTGTAATCACAGTTATGAGCAATATTTTTACAGTTATTTTATTTTAACTATTTCCTAAACAACATCCTGATGAATTGATGAAATTTAATCAATTGGCAAAACCATTCTAGGTTTTATTGGTGAAATGTACGAGCAACAAACTTTTCATTCAACTATAACATTTCCAGATGGGGTTATTAACTACAAAACAAGTCTCGATTTTAAGGAAATTTCTAGGATGTCCTTCAAACAACCTGACCTGAATCATGGGTCATCCAAAAAAAATACATAGATCCTCAAAAATGATCCAATTAGAATAACTTTGATGTTTTTATATCTTATTTATTTCTAAAAAGTACAATTAATGTTTAGTTCCCAATTTGGCATCTTTATTCAACTAATTTCTGATGCCTTATTTCCCAGGAAGTTTTGTTAGATTGGAAAAAATAAACCCAAACCATGCTAATGTTACATAGTATCTTAAGAAAATAAACATTCAAATACCTGTAAAACTTTTAAACAGAACAACAATCTTGGCCCATCACATTCAATGTTTTTATTCTAACCAGCTTAGCCTTAGCCCCCACCAAGTACATCCCGCAGCAAGACTAGACTTGCATTGGAACTCTTACACATACTACTATACCGTAATACACATACAATGCCTGAGTTCTGCACATGTACACAACTACACTGCTGACATGTATTATAGTTTATATTCATAGCTTATATTGACCTCGAGACAGGTAAAGCTAGCCTTATTTTATTCATTGATATTCTGTTTCGTATTGTTCAAACTTTCCTAAAATTTTGTTTGCAGCTATCATTATGTTCATGGATTTTCCTGCTTTTCTCATGGTGGCTAGGTCTTTTGTATTTCCTAGACTAGACTGGTCTGGTTTGTCTAATGTTAGTTTTAGGCCTATATGCGTATAACAGAAAGGAGGTCAGTGTTTCAACTGAGATGATTAACAATGAAAATTCTGAGTTTGATTTTGTAAATTTGATCATTTTAGTTTCTACCAAAGGTTTATTGGTAAGAAGCTGAGATAGCCATGTCAGTTTTACTGTTGTAAGCATCTATACATCTATACTGGAAATTAATCTCACTAAATATTCATGTTATCAGCATTTGTTTTTGTTGCAAATTCCTGCCCGCCCATACATATGCATACAAACATCACACAATACAATTTGTTGCAATGTAATTAACAGAGCTGTATACACTGTACTGTGCTACCACACATAGCCATTCATGCTCAGTTGAACTCCAAACACAATTTACATGCATAAAGTAGCACAGAGGCACAGCTTGTCCACAACAAAAAGTTAGATGACTAAAACAGCATTATTAGCCAATCACAACTTCTCCTAACATTTTCAGCCCTTTTGATGGATTGTACCAACATTTCTCTTGTATAAAGTGCAATCTTTTTTAACCCAAAAATGGACCAAAAGATATTTTTATGGGGGTTCAAATTTTTGAGTTCGTAATTAGGCAATTTACTGATAATTTTGGTCAAGGATTAGGGTTAACATTATGTGTGTAGTGTGGGCATGGATAAGTGTACATTAGACTGAGATGTTGTTTTGAGTAAGGGTCTGATCTAGGGCACTAATCATCCATCAGACAACATGGGGAGGTTTACGTTGGTTATCCAATGAACTTTTTAGTCTTCTCGGACAACCATTAAAATCAAGCCCTGAAGAAAGATAGACGACGTAGACATGCTGAATTCTTTTCCATTCCATTGCCAAAGAAGTACAAAGTATATAAACTTAGTTAACCCTCTTGCTCCGGGTACCCTTTACTATGCATGACACAGGTTTTAGTGTTTTACATTCAAAATTTTATAAAACTACTTTTTGTTTATAGTATACCAATTACAATATCATAAAATCTTAGCTAATAATCCATATTTTAATAGTATACAAGTTTTAAGTTCTTAATTCTACAAGGAAATGTATAAAAAAAAATCCTGAATTTCCAATAGTGTGATGCATGTGATACATTTTGTCTTAACGTGTCATCATCCCTATTTTATCCATCACCCCTCGAAAATGTATGAAATTAAACGTAAAATACTCTCTACAAAATCGTTATTGCTCAAACAGACCATAATTTTCATAGCCTTCAATTTTGTTTGATTAGAGCTTTCAAATAGAAAATCAGACCCCTCCTGCCACACCCACTTGTGAAACATCCTCTCTTTCACAATTCATTGATAGTTCCCTCTTACGTTTCATTATATATTACCTATAACCAATAGAAAGTCAAGGTTTTCATCTATCAAATGACATATTGTATACCGTTGTGTTCTGAACAGATAATTGTCAATTTAACTCGGAGTTGCAACATCGTTCCCATGGGAAAGTTAACTACTAGCTTGGATGAATTTCTAAAGGCTCTTGTCGTATAGTTCAAAAGCCAGGAAAAATTGGAGAGGTAAATGAATTTGTCTACTTTTTGCATGTTGATAGTCTATATTCTTTGGTGCATAATTTAATTAAATAAAAATTTTTGAGTGCTTTAGTATAATTACTATAAAAAATCAGGCTTAACTCTCCTCAACAACTGAGGGCAAGAAAAAAGAAGATTGGGTAAGTACTTTATTTCTTGTTTTTCATATTTATTATTCATTTATTATTATAAAAGTAACTAAAGTTAAAAATACAGATCTTTTTAAGTTACTTAAGACTAGATTAGGCAAAATAAGTAATAATAATAATGTAATTAAATTGGTTCACTCGGCACGCACACGAGCAGCTCGTGGGTAATGTAATTCGATAGCGTAACGTGAGCTGCACTTTCCTCGAGTGATTTACAACTTATAATGGTAGGGATAGTAGTTAGACATGGTTCAAAGGGCAATAAAATTTAATTATAAATACATGTATCCCACGTGGGGGTATAATGAGGGCTCCCAATCAAAGGGAAAAATTGCACTTTGACATATCACTCCTTTGTGAATGTATATTGCACAGAACACCACTGCCCTACTTTGCACTGAATGGTTATAGCCATCTTTGTGTTGACCCCATTCAGGAGGGTGCCTCAACAGTTGACCAACAGCTTGGAACTGGAAAGTGGTAAGGACTCCCACAATCCACTTGAAAAAAGGGGGGTGAGAACACGTTGGAGAGTCCAGAGGAACATCATCACCTGAGACAGTGCAATGGGTGACCATGAAACCCTTTTTTGAAAAGCAGACCATACCGATTTATTCAGTTCAATGCATGGCAGGGAAGAGCAGCTATCCTCTTCTGCTTTACCCATGCAGTCCATAGGTGGTACAGTCCAGAACGGTTATTCGTGAGGTTATTCAACTGCAAGCGATATCGTGGAACACCCCATTTCAACAGAGAGCATTGTGAAGCCATGGAAGATAAAACAGGAGTTAACATGACTGTAAAATGCAGATTTCAAGTAAAAGAATACCTGGTTAAGCACCACTCACCATAGAGCAGGAGCCATATAATGAGGAAATGAAGCAAGGGCCCCTGATAGGAAAAGGATGAATATTAACGTATCCAGTCAAAATCACACTAAAATATGAAGAATGGCCACAGGTGAAAAACGAAAACCCAACGAAGAAGAAACCTCTATATGTTGCAAATAATGGGAGAAAAACATATTAGGTGTAGTCCACGTGCACAATTGTAGGATTTTCTCCAATGACCTACAAAGGCAAGAGAAAAGGTGAGGTGTTGAAACTAATGAGAAGACACCTGGAACAAATTGGGAGGAAGAAGCCAATCGAATCAAAAGGTAATCCTAATTGGTGAAGGTAAAAGAGGAAAGATGCCGAACAGAGGAAGATTACAAAGGGATAAGAGCCAGGAGCAGGTACCACGGTAGGAAGCGGTGCAGGTAATATAAAAAGAAGATTACGATCCGGACATAGAACTCTATCCATATTAGGACGAGTGTAGAGATGAGAAATATAAGGAAGGGAATAGGCAAAGAGGAGGAGTTACCCTCCATAGCCACCGTATTTTTGGGAGGAAGGTACTATCCAAATAAAAGAGAAATAGGTAGGGTGGTAAAGCATACATGAAACATCCACGGCAAATGACTTAGACCTTCGACGTCCACAGGTTAAGAGGGGAAGGAAATACGTTGTAAGGGAAAGGTGAAAAATGGAACACGAGTAAAGTGGTTCAAGTGGATGTAAATTGAGGGAATGAAGAACCATCTTAATATCACAGTCCAGAAGAGTAGATCATCTGGGGGGGACGACAAATCCGGAAGGAAGGCCGGAACATGGTAAGGACAGGTGCAGCAAAAACACAACAGTAGTGGGAAAACAAAAGCTATGGAATCAGGTAGTCTGAAAACCCAAAAGCAAAAAGACTGAAACCCCCCAGTCAAAAAGTCATGTGAAAAACTTGCCACTCGAACCACAGCAGGATGGTCTGCAGGGAATCCCCGAGTTGCAAACCAACTGCGGAACACATTCCATAGGTGCTGATACACCTCCTCTGAAGAAGGACGTATGGAAAGAGCTAAAAGAAAAGCTACATGATGGGAGAAAACTTGATCTCCTTGCCAAGGACTGGATAAAACCAGGCATGAATACAAAGGACAGGAAAGGCTGGATGTAAAACCAGTAACCAAGGTTGAAGAAGAAGGGAGGGAAACAAAGGAAGAGGTACTGGACGGAAAAGTTGCAGTTGTTGGAATCATGGAACCATATAATGATGGAATGTTAAACTCAGAACTTGAAAAAGCTCTGACTACCCAACAGAAAGCATAAGGTTCAGAAACAAGCCCAAAGTATAGAGGGAAAAGTGATAAACCACCCCATGATGGATGAACTGAAGATACGAACAACACTGTGGTGATGAGCATTGGCAACATCCATCCTTGTCATCCATAAGCCAGGAGAAATGCCCATCCTAGGGTGAGACATGCCCATTTACACCTCCTGATTTTGCCGTGCCTTCCCATGCCCACCCGAGAAGTCAATTAGGCATAATACAGTCTTTTTGGATATAGTTTCTCAGGTGTGTGACATTTTATCTCTTTTCTCTATTTCCTATGACCCATGTCCTTCATTACTATGTGATCAATCTTACCATCCCTATTGGGTTTTCCTCCCTCCCAGGATATTTGCAGACTATCCTTTTTCTGGACAGACAATTCTTAAGTTCCTTTTTTGCCCAATTTTCTACCTTTGTCTTATCTTTTCATCTCTTGTTGGTATCTCTTTACATACCACCTCTTCTCTAAGGTTTCCCACTGAAATCTTGAGGGGTTTTCTGGGGACTTCCTCTCCTTTTTCTGCCACATTGACTCATTTGTCATCTTTGCCTCCAGCTTTGTGTACATGGTTTCTCTGTTGTTGGGGCCTTTTAGGTCATGCTGCAACCTTAACTTGCATCTACATACCATCATCTTAGAGATTTATGTATGGCCTCATTATTGTGCCGATACACCTTTAACACAATTCTTGAGTCTTTGGAATCATGGATTGCATCAGTACAACAAAAGTCTATCTATTTCAACCTTGTTGCCCATTCTCAACCATGGAGCCCAATAAAACACCAGTTACCATTGCTCACCTTCTTTGGGAGGAAATGGAGCGGGGTCTGGAGACAGAAGTTAACACATGTAATGTTTAATCTCCCAGTGAATAAACATGGATAAATCCCCCACAAGGTTGCCAGCACCTGAGGTATGAGACATAGTACTAGTTGCAGGTGTGACTGCCAAAGTGGTAAGATGACCTTTGGAATTCACAATGAGGAGGAGTCAACCAATAATCAATAATATAAATAACAATGTGACTGTAATAAATGGGGATTAAAGTGATGTTAAGAAACAGTCTTAACAGAAACTAGAAGTGAAAATAAATGAAGACCACTTCATAAGTATACTGAAGATGAACATGAAACTTTAAACAAACATAAAAAGCATGTCCGACCACAAGTGCTGCCAAACAAATCAATTTCCTGAGTGCCCTATTGAATTTATTTGTACCATTTTCCAGAGTTTGATAATATAGTTATTTGAACAAGTTTCCAGACTACCATATTCCACTTATTTGAACCATTTTCCATGCGTCACGTGAGCATGTCACGCTCCTACTGGTACAAAAGTGACGCATGATGATTTACATAAAACATGTTGAAACCATTTGATCCCAATAGGGGGCAGCAGAAGGCTTGTGGCATGCATAAAGAAAAAATCTGTATATAGAGAATAGCTAATCTTGTGAGAAGAGGGAAGTACTGCATCAGAACACAATTTTTATAGCCTTCAATTTTTTTGGATATAGAGCTATCAAATAGAAAATAGATCCCTTCTGTCACACCCACCTGTCACATCCTCTCTTTTAGGGGATATAAGATGAAGCTGGTATGATCCTCATCCTACCCTTGCAAGTATGTTGGTACCCAGCAAGGTGGTTTTGGATGTAGTTGACTTATCAAGTATGGTCCACCATGCCCTAGCCACTCTACACTATAGGACGCATCCTCCATTACTGACTTTACTTCTGTGGGATTGAGTTGATGTATTTATCTGGTTGGGGTTACTTTCCTGACTTATCCTCTCCCACTTAGATGTGCTCCCTTACTTTTCCACCATGTTTTTTCCTAGCTGTTCATAGCGATGAGACACCTGTTTCAGAAGTGGTGCAGCGCCCCTCCTCAGATCATCTGATCTGTTTTTTTCATATACTGAAGTATCCTTCAGATGCTTTCAGGGAATACGTCTGTTCTTCCCTCCCACCAGTCCCTACTCCTTTTCAATGTGGGATTCTAACTAATCTTGTGAGCAGAAAAAAGTATCATATCAGAAGTTATAATTTTCCTATACTGAAAATGTGTATCTGATTGGTACTTCCCTCTACACACACTTCCCACCCTCCTCACCACAAACTTCCTGTTTACGTCATCTGCCAAACTTTGAAGTGATGGTTCGGTAGTGGCGCATAGAAGGAGTCACATACATCACATGATAGTAGTGCTCTCATATTGTGGGAGAAATGAAGCATGATGTGTTACACGAGAGACATGTATAAATAAATAAAATATGGTTAGCTTTGCCTCTCACCAGGTCAATACAAACTACAAGTATTCATGACAATACATATCAGCAGTGTATGTGTATGTGTGAAGTGCTCAGGCACTGTGTACATATTATGGTATAGTTGTATGGGTCAGAGTTCTGAAGAAAGTCTAGTCTTACTACAGGATGTACTTTACTGTACTTGGTGGGCAGGCAAAGCTGGTTAGAATAAAAATATTGAATGTGATTGTCCAAGATCGTTGTTCTGTTTAAAAGTTTTACAAGTCTTTGACTGTTTGTTTTCTCAAGATACTGTGTAACATTAACATGGTTTGGGTTTATTTTTTTCCAATCTAACAAAACTTCCCGGAAAATAAGGAATCAGAAATTAGTTGAATAAAGATGCAAAATTGCAAACTAAACATTAATTGTACTTTTTAGAAATAAATAAGATATATATATAAACACCAAAATTCTTGTAACTGGATCTTTTTAGGGTCTTTGTACATCAATATTGTCGTAATTATATCTGTTTTGAGAGTCTGTGTATTTTTTAGGACAACCAATACAGCCTTCCAGACAACCTCTGATACAAATCGAGCCTTGTTATTTTTTTCTTTATCTTACTTAATCTAACTTAATAAGTTTCTAATTTTTACATTTTAGTTACTTTTATAATAATAACTAAAGAATACACAAGAGAAACAGGAAATGTAGTATTTACTGTCAACAATGAATGAAATTTAACCCCACTTTTTTTATACTAATGGTACTACTACACTAAATAATTTTTTACTCAATTACATAATGAACTTAAAACACATAATAATAACATGCAAAAAAGCAGACAGTGTCCTATAACTATCATAACGTTTCTGGTTTTCTAACTTTGCAATAATTCATTCAAAATTCAGCTAAGCTCATCAATGTGTTTTCTGGGAGAATAAAGTTTGAACTGGAAGTGAAATAGACAATTCTCTATCCAGAAAACAATGTAATATAATATAATAGATCATTTGACATTTTAAATCTTTTACTTTCTATTAGTTATAAATAATATAGTATTAAATGTCAGAGAGAATTATTGGCAATTTGTGAAAAGAGGATGCGACATGTAGGCATGGCAAGTGGGTCTGGTTTTCTAGTTTATGGCTCTGTAACAAATAAGATTCAATGCTATAACAATTATGCTTTGCCTGAGTAATAATTATTATACTGAGTAATTTACACTAAATTCCATACTTCTCAGAGGGTTGATAAATAAATTAGGGAAGAATGAAGACACAGAAAGCAGAAATCACAGTTCTCATACTTGGAGTGATTAAAGCTTTTCCTTACAAAATTAAGAACTTAAAACTTATATAATACTTAAATTTGATTTACTAACTATGTTTTGTTGCCAAGTTTATTCATATACTATGATAATAATGCAGTTTAACTGAATTTTGAATGTAAATCTCTAAAACGTTGTGGCATACGTACTTTGACCTGCCCATGGCAAGATGGTTAATATATTGTTGCGTCATCGAGTCACATGACTACTGTGACGCAACGTTTCTAGAACTATCATGTACTTTGGCGAATGTTCTAGTTCTTACTAGATATAGGGTAGGCTGGTATATAAAAGAGGGGAATGTAATGTCTGGGTAGACAGTGAGTAATTGATCTGCGGTCAGAAGTATTATTGACGTTCGTTGATATAGCGTTTTGTTTAGCGCGATTGTTGAAAGTTGAGTG